ATCTGTCCTTGGTGCCCAGCTGGAGCAGGAATTGTTTTGTCTCCCTGCTCTGTGCAGAGAGCTCAGCATCCCCTCATATGGGGCCCAGACTTAGACACTAAAGCAGCACAGAACCTGAAAAACAGAAAAGCTCAAACCTGAGGCATCAGGGGAGCATTGAAATGGAGCCTCTGCCTTCATTCCAGCAGCAGGAACAGAGTCACCATATTGGGGTCAGGGTGAGCCTTGTGCAGGCTGGCCTGGAGCAGAGGCTGGGCAGAGCCAAAGGACAAAGCAGGAATTTATTAAAAGGCCTCCATGGATGCACCTTGGGCAGCACAAGAGCCCAGCCAGGGCTGCACCCAAGATGGACCAAAATGGTCCCAAAATGCACGAGCGCTCACGGGGTCTCTCCCTGGGATCAGCTCTGCTCCATTTGCATATTGGGGTTAATTGTCCAATTCCAGCTCCAGCCCATGCAGTCCCATCCTTGTTTTTTCTCTCTTCAATCCCTGTTTGTGCTCTTGGGCTGAGATTTGGATCATCTGTCCTTGGTGCCCAGCTGGAGCAGGAATTGTTTTGTCTCCCTGCTCTGTGCAGAGAGCTCAGCATCCCCTCATATGGGGCCCAGACTTAGACACTAAAGCAGCACAGAACCTGAAAAACAGAAAAGCTCAAACCTGAGGCATCAGGGGAGCATTGAAATGGAGCCTCTGCCTTCATTCCAGCAGCAGGAACAGAGTCACCATCCCGGCTGGGCTGGGGGTGGAAGCCACCCTGGAGCTTCCCAGCCCACTGGGGGCCGGCTGGCAGGGAGGGGCCCAGTGCTTTGTCCCACAGGTCAGGGGGGCACGGGGAGGGGAAATCTGCCTTGGGGGGCTCAGGAGCTGCGGGCAGGACCCTGGAGCAGAGTGGGCTGGGCTGGCAGAGGTCAGGCTCACACTGGTGCCACCTGCCAGGCTGGTGGCCCTCAGACAGGGGTGAGGGACAGCTGCAGAGCCCAAGGCAGCACAGCAGGAAATGGTGTGGCATGAAAAGCCTCGAGGGTTCTGGTGTCCATTGCTGGGGGCAGTGATCCTCGGGTTAAAAGAGGAGCCTGTGTCCTGGTGAGAGGGATCCCTGCTCGGAGAGAATGTGGGATCACAGGGATCTGTGTGTGTGTGCCACAGGGATGTGTGTGTGTGCCACAGGGATCTGTGTGTGCCACAGGGATCTGTGTGTGTGTGTGTGTGTGTGCCACAGGGATCTGTGTGTGTGCCACAGGGATCTGGGTGTGTGCCACAGGGATCCGTGTGAGTGTGTGCCACAGGAGCAGCCCCAGGGGAGCCTGGCACACCATTCTGCAGGGCAGGACACTGCAGAGCCCTGCTGGCATCCCCAGTGCCCTGCTCTGCTCCTGGCCCCAGCCTCCAGCACAGCCCCAGAAAGTGCTTTTAGCCTCTGTTGGTGTCCCCAGTCAGGGAGGGAAGAGCCACCCCCGGCTTTCAGGAGCTGCCATCCCTCTCCTGATCTGAGGAGTGCTGGGAGGAGGAGCAGAGGTAGCAGAGGTGCTTTTCTGAGGTGCTCTGGGGGTCTCTGAACCCTTTTCTCCCCACCCTGTGTCCTTTCCCAGCCAGCTCTGCTCTCCTGCCCTGCCCACGCTGTCACTCCTGTCCCTGCTGCTGTCACTGAGGGGTGAGTGCAGGTGCTCTGATGTGGTGCAGGAATTGTTCATGTCCTCTCTGCCCCCTCTTCTCCTCCAGTGACATTTGCCCGCTCATTTCCACCTCCTGTGGATGCTCCTGGAACTCCAGGTACCCGGAGCTGGAGTCCTCCCTGCTGCCAGGGGGAAGGTGGGGCAGCAGGGGCTGGGGGCTGCAGGGGCTGGGGGCCCCAAAGCAGATCAGCTCCTGGTGGATTGTGCAGCACAAACCTGTGGGAAGGGCTTGTTCAGGTCGGGATTTATCTGGCAGATTTTTAGCCAGGAAAAGAATCTGCACTGGCAGATTTTCATCCAGAAATGTGGATCTCCAGCCTCTGGGCCAAATTCCTCTTCATGGGAGAACAGCAGGAGGGGGCTTCCTCTGTCACCCCTGCCTCAGCAGTGCCACTCAAAGGAATGAGGAACTCCTCAAAATCCAGCTTAGAAATATCAGCTGCAGGTGGCTGTGGGGTCTGTGCTGCCTCTGCTCTGCTGCTCTGGCCAGCTGTCCCCTTGTTTGGTCTGTCCTGCCTTTCCCAAGCTCCAGTATGGCTGATGGATGAGGGGGGATGGTGGGGAGATGGGTCAGGCTTTGTGCCAACCTCTGTGCCAGCACCCACCTGCCCAGGGTCCCTGCCCTGCAGCCCCGGGGTCCCTCTGTTCCCTCTCTGGCTTTGGGGTCCCTCTGTCCCCTCTCCAGTCCTGGGGTCCCTCTGTTCCCTCTCCAGCCCTGGGGTCCCTCTGTTCCCTCTCCAGCCCTGTATGGCTGATGGATGAGGGGGGATGGTGGGGAGATGGGTCAGGCTTTGTGCCAACCTCTGTGCCAGCACCCACCTGCCCAGGGTCCCTGCCCTGCAGCCCCGGGGTCCCTCTGTTCCCTCTCTGGCTTTGGGGTCCCTCTGTCCCCTCTCCAGTCCTGGGGTCCCTCTGTTCCCTCTCCAGCCCTGGGGTCCCTCTGTTCCCTCTCCAGCCCTGGGGTCCCTCTGTCCCCTCTCCACTCCCAGGAGCTGCTGCTCTCTCTGGTGCTGCCCAGCCCTTTCAGCCTCCCTGGAGTTTCCCGGTTGTTGTGAGGCAGCTCCAACTCCATTTCCCCCTGGGGTCTGCACAGAGCTCTGTGCCACGTCCACTCTCCCGGCCCCACAACTGAACCCTTTTCCCTTATGGACGCTCTGGGCTTGGCAGGATTTTGCTGTGGCAGGAGCTTTGTCCTTGCCAGCTTTCCCGGGGCTCTGCCAGATTTCCCTGTGATGTTCAGGACGATTATCCCCGTTTTGCTGTGTGGAACACGCTGCTCCTGCCCATGCCTGGGGCTCTCCATCCCTTTGCCGGGCCTGGGATCGGCTCCATTCCCTCTCCTCCCTCCCTCCCGCTCTCCCCTCTCCCATTTCCCACCGGGAATTCCCGGCACAAGCAAAGGGAAAACGCTGCAGCCACTTTCTGTTGGGTCCTGCCTCTGTTCCCCAACTTCCCTCGCTTTTCTTGCCACGTAGAATTTCGGGGGCAACTAATTAACTCCAGGGAGTTATAGCTAATTAACTCAAGGGATAATAATTATCCTCTCATCCATGCTCTTCACTCCTCCTGGCCTCCACTCCCCTGCCTTGCTGGGATCCTCTCGGATGATTCCTCCGAGGAAATCGGGAGTGGGACCCCGGGCTCTGTTAACCCCTGCAGCGCCGGGGGGAGACGTGGGGCAGAACGGCCCCTGCAGGCAGCCAGGACCGAGCGGGAGCTTGGGCTGGAGCGGGGACCGGGGGGTCCCGCAGCGCTGGGTGGGAATTTGGGGGGAAAACGGGGAAAGGAGCCTGGGTTGGCCGCAGAAACTTGGGGATTTGGGGAGGAGCTGCGGGGTGTGCCCTCGTGTGCATGGGGAGGGGAGGGAGCGCTGGGGTCCGGCACGGGGGGAGGAGGAAGAGGAGGAGGAGGAGGAGGTGATGGTGGTGGTCATGGGGGTGCCCAGAGGGGCCCAAGGAGGGAATCCCGGAGCCCAGGTTGTGGGGCAGCTCCAGGAGCGCTGCAGGGGCTCCTCTCCTCCGGGAGAGCCGGGAGCTCCAGCCCCACCGCGCCCTCCCACCCGGCCCGGCCCCACCGGCGCGGGCAGCGCTGCCCCACGGCCCCGGAGCGCTGCAGGGGCTCCTCTCCTCCGGGAGAGCCGGGAGCTCCAGCCCCACGGCGCCCTCCCACCCGGCCCGGCCCGGCCCGGCCCGGCCCCACCGGCGAGGGCAGCGCTGCCCCACGGCCCCGTGCGGCATTCCCAGGTGCGACATTCCCAGGTGCGGCATTCCCAGATGGGACATTCCCAGGTGCGGCATTCCCAGGTGCGACATTCCCAGGTGCGGCATTCCCAGGTGCGACATTCCCAGGTGCGACATTCCCAGGCGGGACCCGGGAGCGGCTCCCGGCTGAGCTCCAGCGGCTCCGGACGCACACGGGGACTTGGGAGGGGACAGAAGCCCTAAATCCCTAAATGAGCCCTCGGTGTGGAGGTGCAGAGCAGAGACCCCCAACAATGAGGAAAAGAAGGAGGAAGTGTTGCCCTGAGCCAGGGGCGACACAGGGAGGGACAGAGGGGTGACACAGAGACAGAGGGGTGACCCAGGGACAGAGGGGTGACCCAGGGGTGACCCAGGGACAGAAGGGTGATCCAGGGAGGGGCAGGGGTGACCCAGGGACAGGGGTGACCCAGGGGTGGCTCCACACCCCTCACTGCCCAGCCCCTCACCCTCTGGCTGTGCTGCTCCCAGCGCCGGCCCCTGTCACCAGGAGAAGCTGGTTTTATTTTTGATAAAACAAATAAATATTCCCTGCTTTCCTAAAAATAGCCATTGCCCTTTTCCCCTCCTCCCTCCCTCCCAGCTGAGGCTGCCTTAGAGACAGAAAGCCGCCTGGAGCCCCGCAGTCACCAGCGCCGGTAAACAACCCGGTCCCTGTTCAGCGGGAACATGTGGGGGCAGAAGCCACCTGGTTGCCAGGAGCCCACGTCCCGCGTCCCTGCTGCCTGCCGGGGCTCCTCCTGCTTTGGGATTCAATGGGAATATTCCTTGTGGCTGCCACCACCTTCCCTGCGGGGTGCAGAGCGGGACGTGGCTGTCCCTGCAGGTGCTGCCTTCACCTCCTGCCCCTCTGCATCCCCGCCCCTGCCTCTCCCACGGCCTGGGATCAGCTCCTGGCAGAGCCTAAAAACCCAGATTTGTGGGGCAGCCAGGATTTGTGGAGGCTTTCTGCTCAGGGGAACACTCCACCACGGAGTGATGGATGGACGGAGTGTTTCTCAGCGAGGACTAAAAAGAGAAATATCTTTTATTACAGATAAAAGGCTCTGATGTTTCTAGAGGGCAGCCCCAGCGTGGAACAGGCACACGGGAGGGGCAGAGACTGAGCTGGGAGCCAGGACATGGAGCTGCTGCTGGCTCCTCTTCCTCCTCCTCCTCCTCCTCCTCCTCCTCCTCCTCCTGCCCCTCAGTAGCAGTGGGCGATGGTGTCCACGTTGAGGAAGCGCACGTGCATCTTGGTCTCGATGTCGATGCCCTGCCACATCTGCCAGGGACAGGGCTGAGGGGCCAGGGCCGCACCCGGCCCCGCTCCTGGGGACACGGGGGTGTCACTGACCTTAAGGAAGTCCTCGAAGGTGATGCCCTCGTACACCTGGTCCGGGCCCTGCCGCAGGGAGAGGAAACATCGCAGTGATGGGGAGGGGTGGCCCAGGGATGTCCCCTGGGGCTGGGGACACATCTCCCACGGGTTCCTGCCCTGTGCCCCATGGCCAGCCCCAAACACATCCCCAAACCCCCCCGATGCGAGGAGCAGCCCTTTCCACAGGCAGTAAGGATGGGGTTTGTGGGGTGCTCATGAGAAAACATCACCCTGGAAGCTGCTGCCTGCAAAAAACACCTCCAGCCAGAGCAGCTGTGGCACAGGGAGATGCCCTGGGAAGCAGGGACACCTTCCAGCCCCATTTGTGATGGCAGCAGAGCCCCTCAGAGCAGGAAGCAGCTCCCACCATTTGTCCCACGCAGATGCTGGCCGCCTCCATCATGGCCCCGTCGGCGATGGATCGAGCCGACTCCTTCTCCAGGTGGGGGTTCCCTGAGAGCAGCTCCTCCACCACCTGCAAGGCACAGGGTCAGGCCAGGCCCGGGAGGGGGGCACGGGGCAAGGGGGGAGCCCACGTTACATTTCTGTACTCCTGCAGCGTGATCTTCCCGTCGTGGTCCGAGTCGTACATGTGGAACAGGACTGGGGGGACAGGAGGGGACGGCAGGGTCAGGGCAGCCCCTTCCCCAGCCCCCAGCCCCACAGCCCCCAGCCCCCAGCCCCCAGCCCGGGCTCTGCCGGGAGAGCCTCACATTTCAGCTTCTCCTTGCGGAAGCGGTCGAGCTGCTCCTCGTCCATGTTCATCTCGATGGGTCTGAAGTAGGACATGATGGTCAGGAAGTCCTCGAAGGTGATCTCGTCCGCCAGCCCCTCCGACTCCTGCCGCAGGTTCCTGGGGGTGCCGGAGCCCTCGGTGATGGGGAGCCCCCGGCCTCCCGCCCCCAGCATCACCACACCCCCAGCGCGGCTCCCGGACTGGTTTGTCCCCGAGATTCACCTTAAATGTCCCATTTCCCACCTGGCTCCACCCCAGCCTTTGGGGGGAAGGTCCTCGCCCAGCCCCACCCCATTCCCAGAGGATAAATCCCCCCTCCCGGGGTGCGGGGGGTGCTCACCGCTTGTCAAAAAAGGCGTGGACGATTTTCCCCCGGATGGGGTTGAACTCCAGGTCGGGAATGCTGTCAAAGTTCTCCTTGCTGCAAAGGGCACAGAGAGCCCGGAGCGTGAGGGAGCTGGGGAGGAGGGAAAGCCCTGAGAGCCCCCAAGGGACCCAACCCTTTCTTCCAAAGCACAGAAAAATAAAGGGATTTTGGATAAAACCCCCTTTTTTATTCTGTTCAGACTGAGAGCAAGTCCGTGCTCAGGGATTTTGTCCCACTAGAATGGGACTTGGGAAAGCGCTCGGGATGACCCTGGGCCCTTTGCATGGCTCCACCTGCCACGGATTGTGGAGTTTTCCCAGGAAAAAGGCCTCAAGCAGGGCTCCCCAGGGCACAGCAAGGAGGTCCTGCTGCCCACCCTCCCCTCAGCTCCGTGCTGAGCCCGGGCTGGGCATTTGATCTCTGGGATTTATAAAGCAAACGAGCCGAGGAATAACCCTGGGAGCAGCGGGAGCTCGGAGCTCTCCCCCTTCCCTGTGCAGCCACCGAGGAGAGGGAGAGGAGCACTTCCCTTCCCAGAACTGATTTTAAACCTGGGGAGGATGAGATGTTTGTCAGGAGAGCCCCTGCTCCCAGGCCAGTGGGTTATTGTGTGTTTTCCTTGGAATATTTGCAAGGCCACGCTGCAGGAGCTGGCTCAGGGAGAGACACGCAGAATCCCAGCCCTGGACCAGCCCAGGGAAGGGGGAGATGCTGGGGGTGGCCCTGGATGTGAGGCTGGGATTGCAGCAGGGCTGGGATTGTAATTGGGCTGGGATTGCATGGGGAATTGTCGTGGGGCTGGGATTGTCATGGGACTGGAATTACATGGGGCCGGGATTGCAGTGGGGCTGGGATTGCAGCCGGGCTGGGATTGAATTGAGGCTGGCATTGCCCCGGGCTAGCTTTGTCCCGGTCTAGCTTTGTCCCGGTCTGGCATTGTCCCGGGCTAGCTTTGTCCCGGGCTGGCACTGTCCCGGGCTAGCTTTGTCCCGGTCTGGCATTGTCCCGGTCTGGCATCCTTGCTGCAAAGGGCACAGAGAGCCCGGAGCGTGAGGGAGCTGGGGAGGAGGGAAAGCCCTGAGAGCCCCCAAGGGACCCAACCCTTTCTTCCAAAGCACAGAAAAATAAAGGGATTTTGGATAAAACCCCCTTTTTTATTCTGTTCAGACTGAGAGCAAGTCCGTGCTCAGGGATTTTGTCCCACTAGAATGGGACTTGGGAAAGCTCCTGGGATGACCCTGGGCCCTTTGCATGGCTCCACCTGCCACGGATTGTGGAGTTTTCCCAGGAAAAAGGCCTCAAGCAGGGCTCCCCAGGGCACAGCAAGGAGATCCTGCTGCCCACCCTCCCCTCAGCTCCGTGCTGAGCCCGGGCTGGGCATTTGATCTCTGGGATTTATAAAGCAAACGAGCCAGGAATAACCCTGGGAGCAGCGGGAGCTCGGAGCTCTCCCCCTTCCCTGTGCAGCCACCGAGGAGAGGGAGAGGAGCACTTGGAACCCCCTTCCCTCCCCAGAACTGATTTTAAAGCTGGGGAGGATGAGATGTTTGTCAGGAGAGCCCCTGCTCCCAGGCCAGTGGGTTATTGTGTGTTTTCCTTGGAATATTTGCAAGGCCACGCTGCAGGAGCTGGCTCAGGGAGAGACACGCAGAATCCCAGCCCTGGACCAGCCCAGGGAAGGGGGAGATGCTGGGGGTGGCCCTGGATGTGAGGCTGGGATTGCAGCAGGGCTGGGATTGTAATTGGGCTGGGATTGCAGTGGAATTGGAATTGTAATTGGGCTGGGATTGTCATGGGATTGGGATTGCCCCGGGGCCGGGATTGCAGCCGGGCTGGCATTGTCCCGGGGCTGGCATTATCCTGGGTTGGGATTGCCCTGGGGCCAGGATTGCAGCCGGGCTGGGATTGTAATTGGGCTGGGATTGCATGGGGAATTGTCGTGGGGCTGGGATTGTCATGGGACTGGAATTACATGGGGCCGGGATTGCAGTGGGGCTGGGATTGCAGCCGGGCTGGGATTGAATTGAGGCTGGCATTGCCCCGGGCTAGCTTTGTCCCGGTCTAGCTTTGTCCCGGTCTGGCATTGTCCCGGGCTAGCTTTGTCCCGGGCTGGCACTGTCCCGGGCTAGCTTTGTCCCGGTCTGGCATTGTCCCGGTCTGGCACTGTCCCGGGCTGGCACTGTCCCGGGCTAGCTTTGTCCCGGGCCAGCGTTGTCCCGGGCCGGTTCCCGTACCGGATCGTCAGCTGGTCCTGGCTCAGCTGCTTGAAGCGCCGGTGCAGGTGCTCGATCTGTTCAGAGGTGACTGCCAGGGAAAGGAGAGAGGTGACAGGGGCTGAGCCCCGGGACCCTCTGAGCCTGTCCCACCCCGGCAGCGGGGCAGGGTCCGGGGCACGGCCCTGCCACTGCCCTCTCCCGGTGTCCCTCTGTGTCCCCGTGCCTGGGGCTGGCTCCCAGGACGGTGCCAAGGGCTGGGTTATTCCCTGCAGGGATTCCTGGCATGGAGTGGCACAGTGATCCCACCCCCAGCTCAGGATCCTGGTGCCAGCCCACGGGAGCAGGCTTGGCATTTCCTCTGGGGTCGCTGGCACCGTGGGCAGAGCTGTGCCCAGGCAGCTCCTCTGCCCCTGCCCCAGCTCTGCCTGGAGGCTCCTCCATGTCCGCAGCCACGGCTGCTGCAGGAAACAACTCTGGGATCAGAATCCTGACAGCAGCCAGGGGAGAGGAAAGGACACTGAGGGGGCACCGCAGACCCCAAAATCAACTCCTGGCTTTGAAATTGCTGCCACTGCCCGGGGTGAGCCACAAACCATGGGTGGGCACTGCCCCAGGGATGCACCCACCCCGTCCCAGGCAGGGCTGGAAGGGGGGACCAGCAGCTCCTTTGGGCTCCCTGAGTGCTGGGGCTCAGCAGAGCCTCCCCAGTGCCCTGATCCCCCAGCACAGGTGAATTTATCTTCCCCTGCTGCTCCCCTGGGGCTGTAACCAAGCTCTAACCCCCCAGAGCCTGACTGCTGTGCAAATATTGACGGGGCCATTCCCAGGAGCCAGGGAGGTGCTGTGGAGCTGTGTGTCTGGGATCTGGGGGTCTGTCTGGGCTCCAGCTGGGCCCCCAGGCTCCTGCAGCCCCGCTGGGGCTGGGCAGGGGCAGGGCCAGCCCGGGACACTCCTGGCACCATGGACAGACACAAACACACCTCAAGGGCTGCAAAGGGTTAATTGCAGCACGACAGCAGGGTCAGAGCCGGGCTGGGCTGCCTCCCTCGCTGCCTTTTATGATGTTTAAATAATGTCCTTTGCTTTCCCAGCGCTGCTCCACGGCCTGGAAATAGCAGCTGCATTGATCAGCGGGGCTGGGCCTTCAGAGCCCTGCTAACAGCCTGGGAACCTTCTGGGCTGCAGGGACAGGGAGGGAGCAGGGCCCTGAGCCTGCCTGGGTGTCCCCAGGATGCCCTTCACACCCCCTGAGCCCCCCTGAGCCCCCTGGCCCCAGGTGATGATGGCCAGGCCCCCCCGATCCATCATTTCCTCCCCAGCCCCTGCTGGCTGCTGCTCTGCTGCTGTCCCATGGAAACTTTCCCCAGACTTTGCTGTCCAGCTTTGGCCCTGCAGCAGTGACCTGTCACCCTCTGCGTGACGCCGCCGCCGTCACCGTGGGAGCAGCTGGGCCACCAAGCCTCGGCATCGGGGCCTCGGGTGCACACCAAAAAGCTTTGATCCCTCAGAAAAACGTCCCAGGCACCAAGAGGACAAAAACTGGGGTCAGTGGCTGGGTGCTCGTGGCTGGGCTGGCCCTGAAGGGCTGGAGGAGGCTTCTGCTGCCTCTGTCCCATCCCAGGTGCTCCTCTCGGGGCAGCTCTGCCTGTGAAGGTGGCAGAGCTCGGCTGCTTTCCAGAGAAAAAAGGGGAAATCTGCAGAAAAGGCAAAAGCTTTGCTGGAGGAAGGGCTGGCTCAAGGGCAGCAGAGGCTGCTCGTGTCCCTGAGAAGCATCCTGATGCTGCAGGCCCGTGTCCAAGCACGGCAGCCTCTGCTAATGGGGGAAAAATGGGATTTAAACCAAAGGGAGCCGGGCTCGCTGCTCCCAGCCTTGCATGGCTTGTGCTGCTTGGGGAAAGGGGCACTGGGGGGGCTCAGGGGGGGCCCAGGGGGCTCAGGGCGGGCTCAGGGGCACTGGGGGGGCTCAGGGCGGGCTCAGGGGCACTGGGGGGGCTCAGGCTCCCCTGGGAGCAGCCTGGCTGCAGGGATGGTCACAGCATCCCGGGAAGAGCCATTCACCCCTGACAGACGCTGCAGCAGACTGGGATGGAGCCCACGCAGGGAGGGAGGGAAGGAGCCCCGAGCAGCCCCTCGGGGTGTCCCTCCGCGGGGACACGGCAAAGGAAGGAGCCGTGGGCACCTGCAGGAGGCTCTGCCCTGTCCCTGCCCTGTCCCTGCTCCTCGCACGGCCCGAGGGTGGCTGCAGTGCCCCGGTGAGCTCGGAGCCCAGCAGCAAGGCTGTGAATCCCCTGAATTCCTGGGATTCTGGCAGCCGGGGAGCTCTGTGAATACCGCGGGGAGCACAGGACGGGCACCCCGGGCATGCCTGGAGCTGTGGGCTCCCCCTGCCCTCCCTCCTCTGGTTTCCACGAGATTTCTGGGTGTTGCCCTCGCAAACCCTGCCCTGGGGTTGATCCACGGGGCACCGGGGAGGAGCCTCCCACGGGCAGTGCCGCCTGTGCCCGAGATGCTGCTGCAGGGTCCCCGGGCCAGGGGGCTCCCCAAAATCCTCCTGCCACCCTGGGCTGCCAGGCTGGCACCCCGCGGGCTCCCCAAGCTCCTGAGTCCGGCGGGGGGGCTCAGTGGGGTACGGGGGGCTCAGCCCTCCCTGGGAGAGGAGAGGAGAGGAGAGGAGAGGAGAGGAGAGGGAGATAGATGGAGATGGAGATGAAGGGAGAGGAAGGGAGATGTGACCCCAGGAGCAGCAGCAGCACTGGGAACAGTCACCGGACCCTCTCAATGGAGATGGAGATGGAGATGGAGATGAAGGGAGAGGAAGGGAGATGTGACCCCAGGAGCAGCAGCAGCACTGGGAACAGTCACCGGACCCCCTCGGCCCTGCGGGGACAGTGCCCCCGGCCCTGCGGGGACAGTGCCCTCGGCCCTGGGGACAGTGCCCTGCGGGTGGCGCGGGTGGGCAGAGCCCGGCTGGGGCTCGCACGTGTGGCCGCTCGACGCCCAGGCTGGTGGCGCGGTGGCAGCGGGGACACGGCTGCACGCCCCGGGTGACATGCTGGCACCCTCTGGTGACAGTCCTACACCCTCCTCTCCTATCCCCTGTCCCCTCCCCCGCTCCATCCCCCGGTGTCACATCCTGCTCTCCCCAGCCCAGGTGACACCTCTGCACCCTCCCGAGGGACATTCCCTGCACCCTCCCCGCGGGTCACACATGTCCTCATCCCCTGCCCCGCCCGAGCGTCACCTCCCGCAGCCCCCCGGACACCCAGGTGACATTTTCTTTTTCCCCCCTCCCCCTTCCCGGCTGGCACCTCCCGCACCCCCGCGGGTGACAGGGCCCGCAGAGCCCCCCCTCCCGGGGGGCTGTGTCCCCTCCGCCGGGGGCTCGGACGGGCAGGGTCCCGGTACTCACAGCCCGTCCTGTCCGCCAGCTCCCGCATCTCGGCGGGCACGGAGTGCGCGGAGCCCATCCCGGGCCGTGCCGGGAGCGCCGCCGCGGGCGCTGCACCGGAGCCGCCGCCGCTCTGGAGGGCGGGCGCGGCGGGAGGGGAGGGGAGGCGGCCCCGGGCCCTGCGCGCCCCGCCCGGAGGCAGCGGGGCCGGAGCTCGGCAGCGGGGACAGCCCCGGCAGCGGCTGCTGGCACCGGGAGCCCCGGCCGTGCCCCCAGACACCCCGGGTACCCCGGTGCGGAACGGGGCCGGGGTCTCCCCGCGGCAGCTCCTCCCGAACCCCGGGCTGGCCCCGCCTGGCACGGCCCGGGCTGCGCCCCCTGGGCGGGCAGGGGTGACCCAGCACCCCCATAAGGGGTGGGGGGCTTCCCCGGGAGGCAGCTTTGGCAGGGCGGGGGGTTCTGGCCCCATCTCCCCGGTGCCAGGCTGGCACTGGCAGGGACATGTCACCCTCCCCCGGGCACAGGGAAGAGCAGAGGGGTGGGAGCAGCTCAAAGAGCACAGCACACCGGCAGCAGGTAGCAAGTCAGTCTTGTTTATTTGTTTAAAGCCAGATATAAACAGGAAAGGAATGAAATCACTTCCAGCCTCCAGCTGTCCAGGAAAATACCTGTTTATAAATAAAAACGGAGAAAGGAGAGATGTCCCCATCTTGCAACCTCAGCTGGCAGGGTCAGGGGCCCTGGGGCTCTGGGCTCCTCACCCTCCCTTCCTGGGCCAGCAGTTTTCCATCCAAGGTGGAATTGTGCCCAGCCCAGGAGGAGGGGGGCAGGAGGTGGGAAATCCCCGCAGCACTCTGTCCCTGCCCACAGTCAGAGCCAGCAGGGAGGCAGGCAGGGCCCCCAGAGCTGGGGTATCCCTGGAGATGCCCAGAATGGCTCAGGAGCACCTGGAGCCAGCTGCTGTGCAGGTGGAGGTGGCCTGGAAGGGACCAGAGAGTCCAGGGACCCTTCTCCAGGCCAGAGCAGCCCTTCCTCCTCTCATCCTCCTGCCCCAGAGGACACAGCTCTCCCTGGCCCCAGCAGGGCTGGCTGCTCTGCATGCTCCTGGGGCTTGGTTTTCCTGCAGAGATTGGAGATAAACTCCCATGGTTTGTCAGAGGCCTCACTGCCTGCCCTGGGTGTGTCAGGCTGGCTCCAAAGGGGCTGGAAGAGCTTCCCAAAGGACCCAGGAGCTGTCCCTCCCTGTCCCTCCCTGTCCCATGGCTGCTGGAGGGCACCAGCAGCTCCTCAGCCTGGCCAGGAGCAGCAGCACACCCAGACCTCGGCCTGCAAGGGGGGAGAAACCTCCCGGGGATGCTGCTGCCCCCAGGACAGTGCCTGGGAATGGCACTGCCCCCCGGGAATGGCACTGCTCCCTGGGAATGCCACTGCCCCCGGGAATGGCACTGCCCCCGGGAATGGCACTGCCCAGGAATGGAACTGCTCCTGGGAATGGCACTGCCCCCCGGGAATGGCACTGCTCTTTGGGATGTGTCAGGCTGGCTCCAAAGGGGCTGGAAGAGCTTCCCAAAGGACGCAGGAGCTGTCCCTCCCTGTCCCTCCCTGTCCCATGGCTGCTGGAGGGCACCAGCAGCTCCTCAGCCTGGCCAGGAGCAGCAGCACACCCAGACCTCGGCCTGCAAGGGGGGAGAAACCTCCCGGGGATGCTGCTGCCCCCAGGACAGTGCCTGGGAATGCCACTGCCCCCCGGGAATGGCACTGCCCCCGGGAATGGCACTGCTCTTTGGGAATGGCATTGCCCGGGAATGGCACTGCCCCCTGGGAATGGCACTGCCCAGGAATGACACTGCCTGGAACTCCCCTGAGTGGCTTTGCACCTGGTGGGACAGAAGGGAGGCAATTCCACCTTCTCCAAAAGCCCCACAGGGAGAGCTGCACACAGACAGGACAAACCCCCATCAGAAGGGAGGCAATTCCACCTTCTCCAAAAGCCCCACAGGGAGAGCTGCACACAGACAGGACAGGACAAACCCCCACGGACAGACACCACGGACCCAGACATCACCACAGACACAAGGAGCTTTTGGGATCCACTGCTGTCCCCTCGGGGCAAAGGTGACAGTGCCAGGAGGGGAGGGGCACAGGTGAACCCAAATGTCACCCCACCATCCCACAGAGGTGTTCCCTCAGTGCTGGACTGTGGATGGGCAGCCAGGTGCATTCCAAGAGGCTGCTCCAGCACGGACACAGAGCTGTTCTGAGGGATTCCAGCTCTCCTGGTCACCCTGGGTGTATCCTGAGGGATTCCAGCTCTCCTGGTCACCCTGGGTGTATCCTGGGGGATTCCAGCTCTCCTGGTCACCCTGGCTGTATCCTGGGGGATTCCATCTCTCCTGGTGACTCTGGGTGGATCCTGGGGGTATCCAGCTCTCCCTGGTCACCCTGGGTGTATCCTGGGGGTTTCCAGCTCTCCCTGGTCACCCTGGGTGAATCCTGGGGGGGTTTCCAGCTCTCCCTGGTCACCCTGGGTGGATCCTGGGGGGGTTTCTATCTCTCCTGGTCACCCTGGGTGGATCCTGGGGGTTTCCAGCTCTCCCTGGTCACCCTGGGTGTATCCTGAGGGATTCCAGCTCTCCTGGTCACCCTGGGTGTATCCTGAGGGATTCCAGCTCTCCTGGTCACTCTGGGTGGATCCTGGGGGTATCCAGCTCTCCCTGGTCACCCTGGGTGGATCCTGGGGGGGTATCCAGCTCTCCCTGGTCACCCTGGGTGGATCCTGGGGGGGTTTCTATCTCTCCTGGTCACCCTGGGTGGATCCTGGGGGGGTTTCCAGCTCCCCTGCCCCCCCGGATGCTGGGCTGAGGCCTCCCCCAGCACCAGGGGCTCACAGGGGAGTTTCTCCTCCCCAAGACCAAAGACTCCACCCAGGGCAAGCAGCACTGGAGGCAGTGGGGACACCTGTCCCTAATGGGAGACCAAGGGAACTCACCATTCCCTTTGGGTTTGTGTCAAACCCCAAAATCTAACTTGGCCCCTGGCTGTGTGGAAAACACACTGAAACAGCCCAATCTTTCCAAATTTGGCACCCCCCAGGCTGCATTGGTGCTCTGGGTGACCCAACACCCACAGCCTGGGTGTGGATGTGGGCAGCACCCAGAGCAGGCAGAGCTGCCTGAGGTCACAGCTCCTCCAAAAACTTCTGCCAGAGGGATGAGGATTTAGTTCCAGGGCTGCCCTGAGTACCCAACCCTGCTGCACCCCAGGCCACAGCTCCCACACTTCCTCCTGGGCCAGGCTCCTCTCAGGGTACGAGCACAGTGGCCCCAAGAGAGGGACAAAAAGGGCCCTGCTGGCTGCTCTGGAGCCTGAAGCACCCAGCAGCTCTCCAGGTGGGTTTCCCAGTCCTCAGGGGAACTCTGGGTGCTTCCTGCTGGCCCCTGTGGCTCTCCTATGGCACGGCTGCAGCTCAGGCAGCTGCTCGTGCTGAGGGCTCCTGGGAGCTCTGGAATTCCCTGCAGAGAGGCCCAGGGGGCAACAGAAGGGAGCACCAAACCCCAGAACCTTGCTGGGAATGGGAAGGGGGAGCCCAAGCCCTGCTCTGCCCCTTCTCAGCCACCTTGGACCCAGCACCCCCATTCCCAACCTTGCATCCCTGCCAGGAATCTTTTGGGATCTGCTTTCACAATGGGTTGGAGGTTTGGGGTCTACTCCAGCCCTCAAGAACAAGAGATGGAATTTCAGATTCTTTGCCTGAGGATTCCCTACCCTGCTTCACCATGGGAACTCCTCCTCCCTCCAGGTTCCTGTCAGGACAGACCTGGGACAGTGAAGGTGTTCCCTGCCCATGGAACAAGAGGAGCTTTAAGGTCCTTGCCAGCCCAAACCATTCTGGGATCCAGACACTTTAAAGACAGAGTGCCTGGAGCAGAGCCCCCTCAGCATTCCTCGCTCTCTCCCCACAGGCTGCTCCTCCTGGAGCCCCAGATCCCTGCAGACCACCACCACCAAAGTGCTGGGCTCTCAGCATTTATTTCCACAGCAAACCAGTGCTCAGGGTTGCAGGAGGTGACATGCAGGGCAGGCATTGCTGGAGAGGAGGGCTGTGATTCCACGTGGAGATACCTGTAGTGCATGAGAGACTAAAGAGCATCCACCTACCTCTACAGGGCCCTAACTGTCAGCTCAGAGAGAAGAATGACTGTGTTGCAAGTGGACAGTGACAGGAGACAGGAGCTGCAGCTACTCTACACACATTGCTTCAGAAACCACAACGATATGCACAAACACTGTGTCACTCTGCACCCCGCAGCCCCTGAGCCCAGAGGAAAACCTCTTCTGCAGTGGTTCTGTCTGGGCCTTTAAGTCAAGGTTAAAAGTCCTGTGCCTCGAGCTGCTGAAGCTCCTCCCTTGTAGGCAGCCAAGTCTGCGCCCCCCTAGAATCAGTTTTCTTTTGGCAAGAAGGAAGGCCTCAAGCTGCAGGAATTAACATCTTGCTTCCATAATGGTTTGGCTGACTCCAGGGATGGCCAGGTTCCAGTCATCATTCCACTGTATTGCATAAATACCTATTGGAAAAAAAAATTGGAGATGGCAGCGAGCGGCAGCTCCGCGTCCATCGAAGTCACTCAAGGTCCCACCAACATCCCCACGAGGCTCCAACTCCTCCTGGGAACACTCATGGCTGTCCACGGATCCCACCCTGGACACACACGATGGACAGACCGAAGAACAAGGGCAGGACATGGGCTGGGTGTGTTCAGCAGGCGTGGAAAAGGGCCAGGAGCTCCTCCTCTGCTTTCAGAGTCCCTGCCGTCGGCGAGGTGGCCACCTGGCCCCCAGGTCAGCACTGCTCACCCCCCACAGCCTCACTGCTGCTGGTTTGTGGCTGGAGCTCTCTCCCGGGCCCATAAGGGTATTGCCAGGCCCAGAAGGATATTCAGGATTGGAACAGTAGCTCTAGGAACAATCAGACTACAGAGGTGAAGCAATACCTGACCCAAACATTCAGACCGGAGAAGACAACAGCGAGACGTGAGAGACTTTAAAAACTATTGCCTGCATGGGATACACACCCAAACCAAACCAGACACACACAGTCAAACAAAAATACTGCCAGGACAAGCCACTTCCTTCTCTGGAAGAGGGGATTCCTCCATATTCCACACCAGGATCTCGCTGTGTTGACCTCCTAACAGAAGGAGCAGAATGTGCAGATCCTTCCCAAGGACAACGCTCCTGGCACAGCTGTCCCTGCAAGATCCTCCTGCTGGGCCTCAAGTACCAAAGTGTCCGTGTGCCTTTGGGCCTGGACGGGCAGGCAGACAATGGGAAGATGCTGTAGCACCAGTTTCCAAGTTCAGTGCAGTTTTTAATGCATTAAGCCAAAGGATTGTCACCAAACTTGCTTCCCACGCAAGTTCTGCAGAGGGTAAAGCTACACTCCAGCTGCTTCTGTCCCCAGGCTGCCTCTGGCACTCACTCCTTGCCTGAGCTGTAAATCTTCTGCACCGTGG